GAAAATGTGGACAGAACAGAGATAGGGCGATAATTACTGATTTCAGATTTGTCCCCTTCTTTAAAAATAGGAATAATTTTTGCAATTTTTAATTGTTCTAAGAATACTAATTGACAGATAGAAGCCTTAAAGATTTTAAAAAGAACAACTTTAAGTTGTTCATAGCAATCTAAAACCACGTTTCCATTAATTTGATCTGCTCTAATTGCTTTACTTTTTTTTTAACAGATTTAAAGGCTCTTTCAAACTCATCAAACATTACTTCGGAAGATAACTCATCTGAACAAATGCAATTGTCGAGGGGTTCTAGATAATCAGTAAACAAAAGATTTGGTCTTAGGGATTTTTTCAGACAGTATTGGTCCTATATGAGTGAAATATTTGTTAAATTCTTGAGCGATAGTTTTTGGTTCATATAAACTTTTGCCATCGATTCTAACCATTTGTGGCAGACACCCGGAGCATGATTTTTTTTTGCCAATAATTTCTTTCATTACTTGCCACGTGCGCTTTGTGTCGTTTTTAAATGAATTGAATAATTGGGAGTAATAATTTTTCTTAAAGTTTTTACGAATTTTTTCAAATAGGTTTTTGTAGTTCTAATTTTTTGTAAGAAATGCTCAGGTTTTCGCTCACGCCCTCAGGTGGCCGATAACAACAGCTTAATAAAATGTTTTTAGTTTGATTGTTTGTAATTTCAATAGTTACAATTTCTTTATCTCAGTCAGAAACGCTCAAATCATTCCTAAAACTATACTCAAAATTTTCGTGAACATAAATTAATACTCTACCACCGCGCTTATTTGTTTTTCTCTCTATAGAAATAGTATTAAAACGAGGAATATAAAATTACTACTTATTTCATCTACTGTGATCCAAGTTTCAGTTAAACAAACTATATTAAAAGTGTGTTTAGTTTCTTCTAATAGATTTAAAAGTTTGTCAAAATTGCATTTCAAACTTCTTACATTGAGGTGGAGAACTACAATTTAATTATTTATTTAATTTATAACACATACAATACAGCTAAGTACTAATATTTTAATTTATTTATGTAATATTTCAAAAGAAATTAAAAAGTCCGTAATTATCAATTATGACCCTACACAAACCATCGCAACAAAGTTTCAGAAAGTTGAGGAAAGAAAACAAATTTGATAAAAAAACTTATTTTCAACTATACCCTTCTGATTGCATTCGTCCACGACTATATGGCGTCATAAAAGCTCATAAATCAGATAAAACTATCCAATGAGACCAGTGGTTTCCACTATCGGTACTCCGCCTTATGGTTCTTCAGAATATCTTGTTAAAATAATACAACCAACTTTAAATAAAAATAAAACAAGGTTATTGAACTCGTCTTCCTTTGTCAACGAAGCAAAACCCTGGGTAATTTCTCCTAATGAAATTCAAGTCTCGTTTGATGTGATAGCATTGTTTTCCTCGATTCCAATTGACAGAGCAATACCTGTAATTATTGATATACTCAACAATGATAAAGAAGATCTTGCGAATAGAACTAAATTAACTCTTACTGATATTCACCAACTAATTGAACTCTGTCTAAGCTAATGCTACTTTTTATATAAAAACGTGATTAGAACTATACCGAATTCTGGCCCTATTGGACTATCACTTATGGTCGTTGTTGCAGAGGCATTTTTGCAACATTTAGAAACAAAAACTTTGAGAGTTGCAGAAATAAATTTATTTTCACCAAAGTCATTCAAACGCTATGTAGACGATAGCCATGCGAGATTTGATTCATTAGAAAAACACGACAAATTTTTGGAATTGTTAAATCAACAAGATCCTGCAATTCAATACACATCAGAAATAGAAAACGAAAGGAAAGAACTAAACTTTTTAGATATAACAATAATAAATACAAACAATTTCCACTACGATTTCAAAATCCATCGAAAACCCGCAATTACGAATATACAAATAAAACCGAATTCTAACATTAATCCTGCAATAACATCTGGAGTCTTCAAAGGTTTTATATCAAGAGCCTCAAAAATTTGTTCTCCAAAATACCTTCAAGATAAAATACAATTTATAATAAATATGTTTGTCGAAAATGGCCATAAAAAATCTGAATTAGAGCTTATAACAAAAAATTATCTCAAAATCAAAAATAATCCTGTTGGTGTAGTTGCAGATCAAACAAAAAATGGTAACATAACAATAAAACTCCCATGGATTCCAAGAATAGGATCAAAATTAAGGAAAGAGCTCAAGAGATATGGCGCTAAAGTTATATTTACAACACCACCAACTTTAAAAAGAATTTTGTGTAATAACAAATCCAAATTATTGCCAAATAGCAAGCCGGGTGTGTATAAGCTTACGTGTTCATGCGGTGGCGTTTATATTGGAGAAACAAAAAAGAAAATTATACAAAGAAGTATTGAGCATCAGATAAACAGTATGAAAGGTAATTGGCATGCTTCCGGAGCCACAGAACACTGCAAGAACTGCCACGGTGTATTTAATTGGATGCACCTAAAAACGATCGCATTCAAGTCTAACTACCATGAAAGGAAAATAAGAGAGTCACTTGAAATTAATTATGCCCAAACAAATTACGAAATAAGACACTTCCCACCGCTTTTGAACAAAGACAACGGTGTTAAAATTGCGTCAAATAGCTGGCGACCTCTTTTTAAAAAAATCATAGAAATTTCAAAATAGTTGTTTACGTTACGTCAGCTCATCTTTGTAATGTCTTCTATAACGGTTTTTTACATACGTTTTTTTGTGAGATTTTTATTGTATTTAATTTTACGTCTGATGACGGTCTGAACTATTCAGACTGAAATATTACATAAATAAATTAAAATATTAGTACTTAGCTGTATTGTATGTGTTATAAATTAAATAAATAAATTATCAAGTACTAAAAGAAATGTCATTAAAACAATTAATTTAATTATTACTTTTTTCGCGAGCATTCTTAAAAAGAAACCCTTCTAGTGGGTTTGGAAAACGTTACGAACAATCGGATAAAATACAGTGATAAAAATTATTTTCAGGGTCTAGGTTTTCATCTAAAGAAAAGAGATTTGTTTCATAATAAATTAAAAAAAAAGGAATTCAAAGTTATTAGTCATGGTCGTGATAATAAATATAGAAAATAAAAAAGGATTTCTTTTTAGGAGCGTCAGTTATTTGTTAAGATTGATTTTAAAATTATTATTAAGATGAATAATTTTGTCATATCTTACCGTTACATTTTCACCATTTGAACGCCTTTGTTTTACTTCCGCAAATATTTTCCGAATAGCAACGGTCTCATGAGAAAAGTCTTCGTTAATAAAAAAACTCGTGCCTTTTAGTCGATGAGATTCTTTCAAGATTCTTACTTTATTTTTCTATTTTTGCTGGTTAAGTACAATTGTCCTCGGTCGTCCATCTTTCTTCAATCCAGTGCGGTGGGCACGTTTAATGTCGATATTTTTCAGTCCATGTTTTTGCCAGAAAAAATGTTTGAACTTTTTCTTCAGAGTCCCCCTATGATTCTTGCCCATTTTCATCAATTCCATCGATTCTTAGGTTATTTCTTCTTGATCTATACAGGTTTCGTTGCTTTTCCTTCATAAATTTTTCTATATTAGTTTGTTCGAATTTTTTATCTAGTTGTTTATTGTTGTTATGAATTTTTTTTCAACTAATTCTTTGTTGTAGTTTAGACTATCCTTAATATCTTCCTATTCCTTTGTAAGTTCTTTAGTTTTGTTTGCATTCACGTTGATGTTTAACTCTGCTTTGCCACTCTGTCGTTAATTATTTTTATATTAGCGCCAATAATATCAATAACGTTTTCTCTTGTTTACGAAACATTTCTTCAGTTTCTTTTTTGAATTCTTTAAACATTTCTTTTAACATTTTTTTATTTCAGAAATTGTTACAGTTATAGTATAGTATACGTGATAAAACAGAAATAGTTTTTTTAGATTAAACTTAAATATTTTTTTAAAAGTAATCCAAATGTTTTTTGTTTTTTTAAATTCTCCTCGTGGTAAAATCGCGTCCGCTCTTGTTGAATGCTTGCGTTGAAAAAAGCAATCTATATTCGCTGGATCCCCTGCAATTTTGGGTGTGGGTTTGCTAGCCACGGCTTTGTGAATGATTCTCTAAATCCGATATCTCTATACTTTTTGCATATTTTATCATTCGTAAATATCTATTGACTCAAGGTCAGTCAAAGTTTAAATGAGGCTTCTTCATTGAAAACACTTATTTACAAGTTTAACTTGATTCTTGAAAAATGCGCAAAGATGATAAACGATTATTGTTAAAAATTATTAAAAAACTTTTACTTGATTCAAATCTAATAAATCATTAAACACACACACAAAAAAAACAACCAAGTATATCTTATTCCAAGCAAAGAAAAAAAACTTCCTATTGTATTACCAATTCTAAAAAAAGAAAATAAAAAGTTTAAATCAAACGAACCAATGCAACTAAATTTTTAGGAATTCTTATTGTTTAAAACATTTCGAGAAAAGTGCTTATTTTTAAATAGTAAAATAAAAAACATTATTTGGATGCTTTGCTACGGTTGACTAATGCTATCGCAAAAAAAAAAAAAGAAAAAAATTAAAACTGCTATTTCTCATTCTATTTTTTAAAACATTTGTAAATTAAGTATACAAAAATATTACAAGTAAGAGGGTTTCTTGATGACTGGCCTTTAGCAAACTTTTTGGGTTCATTTTAAAGTAATGATACTTTAGGTTAATTACTTGTATACTATAAAATGTATATATATATATATATATATATATATATATATATATATATATATATATATATATATATATATATATATATATATATATATATTTGTATGGCTGATGATTGCCGAACAGGTAATCGTCATTCGTCTGATGCCTACAACACGAAACTAAGAGTTCTGTGAACAAGTTGTTTTTAATCTTATTCTTTAAATTAAATATACAGAAAAAAAGTAAATATAAAGCACTCACAGAAATAAGATCAAATGAACAGTTAATATACTTTATTTCTTCACGTTTGCTCTTTTTAAAAAATAAAGTTTTATTTGTGCTGACCAGTGTTTATTGTATTCTCAGATTAAAGTTGTTCTTTTTTCCAAAATCTTTAGAGCATAGTAGACTCGACAAGTTTTAAGCAATGTTCAAACAAAGGACTATTTAAGGTATTTTTGACATTCAGAATTTATAGGTTTCTAACCTTGGTTACCCTGCATTGGAAACCTGGAAAAAGTGTATCATTTTGAAATGTTTTCAATCCCGCAGTTTTGAACCTATTAATAAATTAGTACAGACAACTAATTAGGCAGTAAAAATTTTTCACGTGAATCATTAATTATGCAATGTTGTCAATTCATAAGTAATGTAGCTTTGAATTGAAATTTTGCCATACTTGATGACTAAGGAATATTTAAAAAAAAACTGACATGACTTATGCATAGCTTCGTTTCTTTCTTTTCATTGAAGTTCTTTCAAGAAACTTTCAAAGAAAAAAGAATAACAGGAAGAAATCAAGTTGTATACAAGAAGCATTTTAGGAAGTAATGTAGCTTGAATTAAGTCAATTTAATTAAATACAATGAGTTTAGAAAATAGTGAACATAAAGCCGTACCTGATGATGATTCTGATCATTTCTCAAAATCCGATGAAAAGAAAAACGAATCATTAAAGAGCCTGGAAAACGTCGCGGAAAACGTTGTTGCGGAAGTAAAAAGCGAAATCACAAATATTTCAGCAGATACACAAAAAGAGGTAGACAATTTGCTCGATACAGCTAAAGATTTGTCTGACTCCGACAAAAATGTAATCGAAGACAAAAGTTCATCAAGTGTTCTAAACGAAGTTAGTAAAGCAGTTGAAGATATAGAGATTGCAGGAAAAGTATTATCTGAGTCATTTGTTGAAAAAGGAAACGAAGCGCTTGATGTTTCTGCAACGTCAGTTAAAAATACAAGTGATAGTGTTTTGGATGTTGTGCAGGAAAAGATTGATGTTACTGAAAACAATTTAACTGAAGTTATAGATGATGCAAAAAAGAAAGTTGAAGTAATAGAAGAGAGTAAAAATTTGTTAACCGATGTGAAAGAGGAAATAGAAAAAAAAGTCCAAGATGTTACAAACAATTCAAAAGATAAATCTTTAGAAGCAGTTCAAAAATTAGAAAAAAATGTTGTTGATGTTACAAATACAGCAAAAGATAAAACATTAGAAGTGGTTGAAAGTAAAAAAGAAAGTGTGTTAACTGCTACAAAGCATACAAAGGAAACAGTACAAGCATCACTAGAAAATTGTCAATCAAAAGTTGAAACCCTTAAAGATGATACTGCAAAAAAATTAGCAAATGCAACTGAAAATTTAAAGTCTGTTGGTGATCATCACTCTACTGGAGAATTTTTAGGCAAAGATTGTATCAACAAAGGAGGTTCAATATTGAACTCAGGATTAAGTATTGAATTTTTATTTTCATTTCCAATAAATATTAATAATAAAATAATGGCATCAATTATTAATATACATTATGTATACTTTTACTAAAAATATTCATTAAATTTTTTAAATATATAATAGCACATGCTGATAAGCATTTTAATGACTATAACTGATAACTATCATTTATGTTAGAATATATTAAATAAATCTATTTAAGATATAAATTATTTTTATTAAAACATCTAATTTAACTTATATGTTTTTTAAAATCTTTTCTTTTTTATAAATTAAGGTAAACAGAAACCAACTTCATCAGCTATCACTGTTATAGATGACAAAGGTTTGCACAGCTTTTTTTTATTTTATTATTATTATTTTTTTGTTATTGAATTTAAACAAAATAGTTAATATAAATTAAAAAGAAAATGAGATATTTAAGTTAATTTTTATGATATATAGCAATTGTAAAATTTATAAAATTTACCAAAATAAAATAGCACATATATACTTTTAGAAGGTATGTCTCATGAAATTTTTAAATGAATTACTAGATTATTATATATTATTGAAAAAAACTTTAATACAATAATTTAAAGATAAAAAAATTGTGAAAATAAATATGTAAACGATTTTAAAAAAGCTATGAGGTTTTAGGAAACAAATTTTAAAATATTTGGATTTGCTGAATAACCTGTGGTCAAAATTTAGATTTTCTTAACATAAATTGCTATAACTTTGTCAGTTCTTATCAAAATGAATACAACCTGGTATCAAAAAAAAAAAGGTGTAAGAGTATGCAACGAATTTATAATAGTCTGAAGATTATTATAAATACTATAAATTTGTAACAGCATAGCATATTCAGGGAATAGAAGGAGCCTCAGACCACCATCTATATTATCAAAAGGTGAAACAGTGTAAAGACGATTCGCACAATATCTTGGAGATTTCAATGCTGAATGACATGACATTGAGTTGAATGCTAAGTGACATTTGTATCAAGAGGGTGAAGTTTAATTAATTTAGATTCTTATCCAGTTTAACTCATTCAAATTACTTTTCTTTGAAAGCATTTCACCCTTTTTTTTTGGTGCTAAATACACTAATATTTAATTTGGTTTAAGCAAGCATTAGTTTTGATTCATTGTATTCGTTCACTTATGCTACAGTTTTTTTTATATAACTCTCCAAAAGTATGTGGCTGTTGCTATACTCAATGTGTGTTCGCAATGGTAATGTAAAGTTATCAGGTTAATATTTCTTGTATACTCCACAAAATTTCTACAAAATTTTTTTTGTTGTGCCATAAAAGATTAAAAATATTTATAGTTATCTAACTGCTGAGATAGTAGCCTTAGCAACACAAAAAACACTGCTATTAATATTTTTAAGTTATTTTTTCATATATCCTCAATTTATTTTTTATTATAAAATGAAAAGTTATGAAAATAATTTAAAATAACAACATAACAATCTATAACAAACAAATTATAAAAAAAGTTCACTAAAAAATAATTAAATATAAAAATAAAATGTCATTTAAATAATATTTAATTATATGTCCTTGCACCTTAGAGTTGACTTTATTAAGACTTTTAATAAATAAATAAATTTAAAAAAATTATTTAAACTAGCGAGGGCTTTGTGATTTATAACATGTGATTTACAAAATGTGTACCACACATTTATACAAGTTTAACCATTTTTTATTTCATGTGATAGTGTTTATGTTTTTCTTAAATTTTAAAATAATCTAAAGAGAAAAATAAACATGAATAAAAATTTATACATATTACATATACACTATATTATACATTTTAAAGTAAATGATATTAAATTTTTGATGATTCAAAGTCATTTTGAAAAAATGATCAAGTATAATAAAAGACATTGCAAATAAAAATAAAAGACATTGCAAATAAAAATAAAAGACATCACAAATAAAGCCTGAAAATACAAACTTTTCTTTTTATAATTGTATGGTAAAAATGTGATTGAAAAAGAAAATTTGATATTTAAAAAGAGGACTTTAAAAAAGACTTTTTATTTATAAATTTACATTATTCATAAATATGTACATATTTATTAATATATATAAATAAATATGTACTATAATTATATTTAATAAATGTTATTTATTATTACTTTTTTTTTATTTTATCCTTTATCTAAATTGATATTGTAGCATTATTAAATTAAAAAGTATGTTATTATATAATGTGAAAACTTTTTGAAACTACCCCCACCCCCTCCATGTATCTCGATAACGATTTTATATAATAGAATTTAGAGTTCCAAATGCGAGGGAGAAGATAGGTATAGTGCTCATGAGTATTTTTCAATAAAATTTGGCAATCGTATAGAAAATGTGTAAATTTAATTGACAGATATGGATAGAAAAAAGAAAGAACATATCTTTAATGTTTAGGGTATGCATGAAATGCAACAATATTTTTTGCTTAAATAAATCCACTTGAAAAGATTATTGTTGTTATCAATGTGTCTTTTTTATTAAAGTTTCACTTTTATGTTAATATATAATTCTAAAGAATAAGGCAACAGTAAACATTGCTACCAGTGAAGAATCCAGAGTTTATTTGAGGATACCGTTTTTATTTCAGCAACGTTAAGGGGGGGGGGGGGGGATTATGTTTTTTGATTTTTCCCTCCCCCTCATTCATCTCTAGTTAAACGAGTGCCGCAACAATAACTTTTAATCATCATTTTCTTAATAATCATTTATGTTTATCTTGTTCAGTTTTATCTTATAATAAGGTGTTGATTTAAAGGCATTTTTTGACTACATGAATTTACAGGTGAACGATGTTACTTTAGCTAAAAGAAAACTATTTTACCTAAGATTTTAATAAACGTTTTTGTTGCATATACCACGCTATCAGTAAATAATTATTGAAAATTGTTTAAAGTATTTTAAACAATTATTAACTATATTTTAGTAAATTTAATTTTAAATAATAAAAATATTTTAAACAATTTTTAATCAATATTTATATTAAATAATATATTTACATATATTTTTACATATATTATATCGCGTAATATTTGTAAAATTAACAAAATAGTTTTACGTCCTTGTATTTGAATTAAAAACATAAGCATTTAATTAACAAATTTGATAAGCATTTAATAAACGTATTTAATAAACTATTCGAATAAAAACATAAGCATTTAATAAACTTACTTTCAATAATTTTAAATTTAAAATTTTGATTTAAATAATAGTAAAATTGTTGATTTAACTTTTACTAAAGGTTATAATTTTTAAAGTGATTTTTAGGCGCGTTTTAAATTAAAGATAATTAAAGAGATAATTACAGTAAATACAATTTAAAAAATACTTTATTATTTTGATTAAAAACCATATTATATTTTTGAAAACATATTTAAAACAAAATATATTTTTAATTATTAAGAATAATTTAAAAAATTACATTTGAATAAATAAATTACATTTACTATGGGTTATTTTAAACATATCTAAATAAAACTTTTATTAAGTTATTAAAACCTTTTTTTTTTATTATTTTAATTAGAGTATTAAAAGAAAAAAAAACTGTCTGAAAAAGATTATACGTTTCGTTTTTTCCTTTTCTTTACGTAAACTAAAATACTAAGCTAAAGATCAAAAGTTCATTCATTTTAAAAATTTGTGCGATAGTTATAAGGACTGATTTTTTTTACTTTTGTTCATTTATTATTAAAAGTAATTTACTCTTAATTGCCAAAAAGAAAAATTAACCTTACGCTGAATAGATATTTAAAAACCCTTTAACTTTCAAAAAAGTAAATCGATTCGTAAATACATTCGATTGTTTTAAAATTTTGCAACGTGGTTTTAAAATAAATTTTCTTAACAACTTTCTTTTTTTTTAAAAGTTATGTCCAGTTAATAACCAAAGGCAAATTACTCACGTAGTTATGTAAATAAGCAATTTCTTTTTAATTCTTTTTATTTTCCTGAAGAAAAAATGAGGTAGCTAAATTAAACTGAGAATTAATTATATGCTAATGCATTTAAAACTTATTTTTTTTTCTATTTTTTATAAAAAATCAAAAGAAAAATTAAAAATAAAGATAATTTTTGGGCGCGTTTTCTTTTGGGCGCCCATACCGGTAAAACGGTACTAAAAAATGTCTGGGTTCTTCACTGGCTACCTACCTTGTAAAAATGCAATACTGAATTTTAGCATATTTTTTGCTAAAATTCATATAGCTTTTATGTGTTTTGAATGCTGACCCTAATTCTGAGGGCTATATATATATATATATATATATATATATATATATATATATATATATATATATATATATATATATATATATATATATATATATATATATATATATATATATATATATACACACACACACATATGCCTTGGCGTGAGTAAATAAGTGAGAGAGCAACAAAAAGCTCTTCTAAAACGAACATGGCAAGCCATGTGAATTGCTCCTCTAAACAGCTTCTTAGGAGAGTATTTTGCTTTTTGTAGGAGAGTATTTTGCTTTTTGTCTGTTCATTAGTTTAAAAAATTGCTTATTGAATGCAAAGTTTTGATTTTATAATTGTTACAAGCCCAGGGCGCAACAAATAATTTTTTTTAATGAATGTTGACGTTGGTATCTTTATTTAATGACAAACATCTATTTTAAGAGATATATGTGATATAAGGAAGTTTTATTTTCAAATAAGTTTTATTGTTGTTGATAAGTTATTAGATCTATCAATGATGCTTATTGAATTTTATTCATATTTCTTCAAAACAATTTTTTACGCAATTGCAAAGTGTAATTTATACACAGGGTGTTTTAGCAATTTATACACAGGGTGTTAACAATTTTGATACAGCGTTTTGATGAAATTAGGATTTTAATAAAATCTTTTCCAATCAATACCTCCCCCCACCCCTACAACCCCATATGTGCATATGTCACTGGCAATAGATTTCATGTTTTTGTAATTTTCTAATGTAAAGAATTTTTTTACTGATCCGTTTAAATTTGCATTCAAATTGAACTCTGTTTGTTCAACATTTATAGGAATATCACTTAAACAAATACTTTCTTGTGATGACTGCAGAGAAAGTACAAGAGGACCAATAGCGGAAAAAACATCTAACAACATTAGTATTGACAGTATTGTTTCTTTACTTAAAGCTTGCAAAAACAAGCTAAGGGCTTCTGCTTCTTTTTGCTCTTTATAGCAAGTACATAAGGCAATTAAAAAGTTGTTTTAGTTGCCGAAAAAAGTCAAGCAGGCTCTTTGATGAGCTGTCCATCCAGTTGTACTTAGGCATATAGGTTGTCAATATTGCCATAAATATTGGCACTTTCCTGCAGCAAATTCATTGCTGTTGTTCAATATTTAAAATATTTCCAAAGATTAAGAAGAAACACATCGACTTCTTTTACACATTCAAAGTCAGATAGAAGATGTTTAAAGCATAATGCTAACCTGTGGCTACTACAGCCAACCAAAAGTAGTTGCGGGACTGAATGTTCTAAGTATGCCTTTAAATCCCCTTTCTCACCTGAGTTCACATTGGTAGTATCCATCCATGCATGATGAGCGTTGTGCAATGGAACATCTATTGATATAAAAAAATTCTCAATAACTTTAAATAAGTTTTTGGCAGATAAGCTTGTCCCAACTAGTTTACTTAACGGTAGTAGTCCAACAAAATGTTATTTTACTAAACCACAATGTTCAAAAGATGCATAAATAGCTAGTTGTTCAACTGATGTAATATCTGAGGTCTTATCTGAATAAAATGCATATTTTTTCCCTTGAAGTGGCTCAAGCAGCAAACACTTGACAAAGTTGCATATAATATTAATATATTTAGATATATACATGGGTGACATAGGTAGCATTTCCTGGTGCGAGTAGTAGATGAGATTGTACATCTTTTCCCCCACATTGTGCAATAAGCTCTATTAATTCTTTAAAGTTATGAGTATGAGCCCAATTCTTCATGATAAGTAAATAAATTACGCAAAAAAAGACTTCAGAACAAATCTTGTTTTTGAATTGTAAACATTTTTTTGTGCAAGTTTATTTTCACAAATCATTTTCCAAACATCTGTGTCTCTTTTACTCAACTCTTAGAATGTTTGTTTGTTTTTTATCGCATTTTTATGTCGAACCAATGATAAATGGGAAGATGAACGTTCAACAGGATGATCTGCAAACATTCCTGGCTTTTTGATAGAAGCCCTTGATAAATGGGAAGATGAACGTTCAACAGGATGATCTGCAAACATTCCTGGCTTTTTGATAGAAGCCCTTGATAAATGGGAAGATGAACGTTCAACAGGATGATCTGCAAACATTCCTGGCTTTTTGATAGAAACCAGCATGTGCGGCAAATGATGTGCACGTTTTACAGAACCAATCATTTAACGCTGACAAAAAATAAAAATCGGTAAATACTCTCTAGTACTTTTCAGACGACTTCAAACCGTAAATCAACTTTTGGTTTCTTAGTTAACTAGTCATTTTTTGTAACATCAGGATCTACCTTGAGTTTAAAATAAAAAGAAAATTTGATTTGGAAATCTTTAATTTTTACTATTTATGAGTCGTCTACAAAAAGTGTTGTTACGCTAAATTTACCTAATAGCTAGATATAGGAGATTAATGGCTCTTGTGTGCAGAGGTTTTTAAAGTAATATAGCGATTAGTGAAAACCTCCTTGGAAGAAAGCCAATGATCTTCTATTTTTTATTATTTAAATTCTGCTAGATGTCTTTTGTGGACAGACCCTTACATTATAATGTAATAGATTGTATCATCAAAAGGAATGTTTTAATAATAGAAAAATAGAAAAAGTTACAAAATATTAAACATGAGCTTGTAAATTTCATAATTCGCATTTATTGCAAGCTCAATTTTATAATTAGTATTAATTTTCTTTATACATAAACGGCATAGCAAAACAAAGTCTCACTAAAAACAATAACAAATGTTATTTAATTATAAAATAATGTTGATTTCCAGCAATTGCATTCTATTGTTGCAGCGAATAACACTAATAATTATTTTTTCATTCATAGTCATAAAATGTTATAAGGTTCATTTTACATTTTAAATTCAAGCAAGCAGTGAATTTAGTTTTTTTGTTATTTAAATTTCTTGTATTAGTTTGTTGTTATAAAAAAAACTTTTCTTGTTATTAAAAGTATTAAAGTTACATTTTAACGTGTTTAGTTTACTTTTTAAATACAAGCAAGCAGTACAATAAAGAAATCTAATTTTCTCATTAAACAAATTTTTAGTAACAGTTTGTTGTAATTATATTGCATTTTTTGTATTTAACTTATATTTCTAAAAAATTATAGTCAATGCTATCACGTAATTCAGTTGATATAAAATACCAAACAAACAAAAAACCAATAGCTTACCATAATATCTGCATTGATTGAAATTTCAAAATTATCTGACGTAAACGGGTTCTCTGTATTTTGAATCAACCTTGTTGACAAAGCAGATGTACTACTTAAAGAAGAGTTAGTTTATCAATAAGTTGTTTGAATTTTCAGCCAAAAAAGACGAGAAAAAAAAAAAATAGCATTTTTTTAAACAAATTTGTTATTTCTTGAGATTGCGTTTTGTTTCTAGCTAACTTTTTCATATAATATTTGCTGATGTTGAAGGCATTACAAAGAATGATTAGTAAATTTTAAGAAATTAATTTTACAAGCAAGTTGCCGAAAAAATCCCTAAAATTGTTTGGAAAATCCCAATTCTCAGGAATTTTCTTCCAAGAGACATTTTTACAGTTAAGCAATCACATAATTATACTAATAACAACGATTTTATTTCAAGGTTTACACAATTAATAAAATTAGAATTTTTTACAATATTTTTCTCAAAGTATTTAATAATACTTAATTTTCGATGTTTTGAATTATTATTAAACTTTAGTTTATGATTTGGCAAAATTTATTTGAAGAATTTTATTTTTTTACTTTTAAATATATATATATATATATATATATATATATATATATATATATATATATATATATATATATATATATATATATATATATATATTAAAAATTGTTTTTAAGTTAAGTTGTTGTTTTTTTTCCATTTAAAGCTTCTGCTCTCTATGCTCATAATGAAATCAGAAAATTGCATGGTGTGAAGTTATTTAAATGGGATTCTGGATTAGCAGAGTCAGCTAAAAATTGGGCATTAGAGTTGGCTGAGTCTGATCTTGGTCTACAGCATTCTTGTTTGCAAGGATATGGAGAAAATATATACATATCCAAAGGTACTAGTTCGCCAGTTTCTACATCACAAGCAGTCTTGCAGTGGTAATTTTTTGTTAAATTATCCCTAATGTTAAACTTTTATCTTTGATAATATATACACTTACACACACACTTACACACACACTTACACACACACACACACACACACACACACATGCATACACACAATTTTTAGTGTTTACTTCCTATGATTCCACACTTGTGAGGTTTAAATAGGTTTTCATAATGCCTATTTCCTTATTATAATACCACGATTATAGAAAATTTATTTTAATGGGTGCTCTTTTTACTGTTAACCTGTTTTACTGAGTACTAGTGATACTAGCACAAGTAAAAATTGACCTTTATATTTGATTAAATAAGGTGTTATAAGTAAAGGAGTTTTTCTTCTTGTCAGTAAGTTACTCTCACCACTGCTAAAAAACCTCATTTGTTTCACTCCATATATTTGTTTCACTCCATATATTTTATTATATTTGTTGCAGGTAGTCTCCAAGAGAGAGACTACCTGCAACAAATATAATAAAATATACTATAATAAAATGAATCTCTACCTACTAAAACAAAATACATTTGACAGATTCAATTTTTTGTATATTTCAAAAATGATTTGAATTAAATATATCCAAACATTTTTGAAGTTTTGAGTTTGCTCAATGCAATTGAGAACACTCAGAACCTTTTAACTGAAAATTTGGATTAAATGTTATTGGTTATCAGAGATTTTAACAAAACACTATAGGTCAGCAGAAAATTTAATGAAATTCTATTGGTTACTAAGTTAAATAATTCACTAACAAAATTGTATTAAGCATGGCAATACAACCCTTTTTTTAGTTTAGTTTGAGTTTAAAAAATAAACTTATTTTTTAAATTATATGAGAGAGGTGGTAAATTTGTGCAGCTGTGGCGCAGTGGTTAGAGTTCTGGCTCAGAACCAAGAGGTTCAAGGTTTAATGCTGGGTCTAGCTTAATAAGTAGCATTGGTAAGAAAAAGTGGCGTGAACTTCCTATTTAAATGTTCTTCCATCATGCTTTGTGATAAGACTGTAAGGACTTCTAGGAGCACCTTAATAACCACAATAAAAATCAAATTAAAAATGCAGACATGTGTTTAGATAATTAAAATGTAGCAATTAACAAATTAAAAGCTGTTATAATTAAAATAATAAATTAATCTTCTCAGCCTTTGAAGATGTCATTTAAAAGAGTAATACCCCATAGCCAGTTTTAATTCCTCATTTAATGTGTTTATACGCCAAAATACTTTACAGAAATTAAATTATAAGTTAAAGTTATGCATGTTATTTTATTATATGCAGTATTAAATTTAAAATGATTTCATGGAAAAGTTGATGCACTTTTAACAATCAGATGCCTTGCTAATCTGATTTTAACCTATTTTTTAGACAAGAAGTAATTTCATTGTAATATTACCACTAAAAAAGTTATTATCCAAGGTTTATGAGTTTTTCTACCCTCATCACATATTCTCATACCCACAACCAAATTCAGGTTTTTATATCAGAGTTTTCCTTCTCCTATATAAGTTGCCTTAATTTGTGTTCAAGTTGAGTATCTGGTTGTAAAAAAATTTTTGCTAAAAAGTCTCACCCATAATAATCTTTTTAAATATAAAAATGAAATAAAAATTTTGTTTCATAAAGTTAGACCCTCAAAATGGTTCAATTTACCTTGAAAAACGCTACCTGTCATTAGGAAGTGACCAGGGCCCTGGCTAAAAATGAGACTTAGCAAACCCTCATAAATCTTATAAATGCCGGCAAAGTTATAAGATTTAGCAGGGGTTGATAGCCGGGGCTAGAAAAAAATTTATAATACTTTATATATTATAATTTTATACTTTCATTTACTATTTATTAAATACTGGCATACATTTATATATTTTTAAACTTTAATTTAAAGTAACTACTGAGTTGCTTTAAAGGAGAGGATATGTTAAAAAGATAGGAAACGGTCAACTAAAGACTTAAAAAGTTGTAGATTGTATAAAAAAGGAAATCAAGAGTTATAAGGTTTTTTTTATGCGCAAGGAAAAAAATTGGATTAATAAAAGTTTGTATAGCATGAAGGGTAGTAAAAGGATGCAACTTGTTGAATAAACCAAGCAAGAATGAGTTTTAGTTTATTGTAATAGAGATGATTGTTCGTTTAAACATTGACCATGATTAGAGAAACAGCATAAAAAGGAAGCCTTAAGGATGTATAAATGTTTATGCAGCCTCGGTCACAAACCGACCCTGGCTGTATTTTATCTAACCCAGCCCCGGTCAAATAACAACCCCGGTCGCTAACTACCTGGCATATTTGCTTTTTACTTTACAAAATGGTTGCTGATTTTAAATAAGTAAATACAAGTTCCACCGCTATGTTGAACTTGTGGCAGCATAAAGCATATGGTAAACGTAATGCTTTCTGGTTTTTCATATGGTAAACGTAATGCATAAATGTAAGACAGTGCAGATAAGAATTACAAAAAATCTAAAGCTACAAAACAACAACAGTAGTTTGCAAACATAACATTAAATCACCAGCATGTTTGCACATGCTGAGTTTTCAAAATAATTTAGGACAACTTAAGCATTTAAAAACAATTTTGTACCCAAATTATCTTTGATTTCCTTTTATCTGCTTCAATGTTGATATGATTCAGTAGGCTTTCTAGAACATGTATTTTTGGTGCAACATATCTTTTCAAGAAAGATAGTTGAACATCTATAAATAAGATTAAATTTATTTATTATTACTAACAAAACAAATCTAACATATATAAATAAAGTTATAAAATAAATAAAAATATATATATAAAATTTGATTAAATAGCTATATATTAAATATTATAGTTGTTGTTGTTGTTGTTGTTGTTGTTGTTGTTGTTGTTGTTGTTGTTGTTGTGTGTGTTTGTATGCTTGTTTTTTCCGCACTAAAACTGTAAAATTATAAAATGTTGAAAAAATTATTTAATTTTAATTTGTTATTTTAATTATTACTTTACAAAGGTACAAAACAGCATCCCAGTATCGTTTTCATTCACCGTCATTCACATTAACGAGTGGAACATTTACACAGTTGGTTTGGGATGAATCCTTAAATCTTGGCGTTGGAGTGGTGTTCCACGAAGAGAAAAAAACAACTTACATTGTGGCTCATTATTCTCCCCCTGGAAACACTATTGATAGTCGTTTATACACAAAGCACGTTAAACTACCTAGAAATGGAGGTAAGTTTTTTATTATAACTCTCCCAACCCTGAACTATAAAGAAATATGTTGAGTCTGGTACTTCCAGAGTCATAGAGTGGATTTGTACCTTGAATATCTTGAAGAGCTAAGTGTCCTAGCACTAGTTTCATTAAAATTAATTTCATTAAAATAAAGAATGGAGTTATTTTTTTAAGTAGTTTGTTTGAATTCATTTATAAATTCTGACTTAAAAATGGGAAAATCAAAGAGAAGTTTCTTTAATTTTCCCGTTTTTAAGATTTCAACTTTGAAGAACTTTGTTATTTTTAAGATTTAAAAATAACAAAGTTCAACAATTAAACATCTAAATCACAATTAGTAGTATGATTTTCTGTTAATCATGATTCGCATTTCTGTTTATCATGAATCGCAGCATTTAAAACAATAGTCAAAATAATACATTCAAAACAATAATTGTGTCAATGATTGGTTAACAGAAATTTATTTATTTAATATTAAGTCACATAATTTGTTTTAAGGTTTTTAAATAGTTAAAACATTTCATAATATCGGGTAGACACGGAAAAATCCGGTCAACTTAAAATTGAGATTTCTCTAAAATCATAAATGCTTTTTATTTCAATTTTTTTATTAAATGTGTTTACATAAATTAGAGTTTCAACTTAATTTTAAGGGCTTGATGGGTTGTTTGGCAAGAAATCGAACTTGATTGCAGGTTGATGCCATCATTTCACAGCTTTTTTCTTTTTTCACCATATTGGTGGCATTAATCCACTTTTTTTTGAAAGTCCTTTTTATTATTTGTTACTCCACCTGTCTTAGGAAGAACTCCTTTAACTATTGCTCAAAAATCTTCAATCTTGCGCTCTTCAGGACGATTTGGAGGATTCGTATCTTTAAGAACAATTTTCACATTGTTATCTTTGCACCACTGTAGAACTTTTAAAGAATAGTGAGAGGCAGCAAGATCGAGCCAAAAGAGACATCGGTATTTGTGTTTTTTCAAAAAGGCAAAAGTCTTTTTTGGAGGCATTCTTTAATGTAGAGATTGGCAGTCAAGGTCTTTTTAGTGACAAAACAAGAAGACTGCATACCACAGCTACAAATTGCTTGCCACACAAGGAACTTGGATGCAAATTTTTCTTGTCGAATATATTTAAATTGATCATCGATAGGTTTATCTTTGTTTTCATAGTAAAATTGTTGACCAGGAAGTTGTGAAAAATCCGCCTTGCAATACGTTTCGTCATCTTCAATTATGCACATGTTTTTATCCACCATTATTTTAACCAACTTCTTTGCGCCTCGAATTCCTTTAATTTCACAATTTAAGCTTCTCTTAGGTGAATTTTTTTTATGAAATGCTTTAATTCCAGCATTTCTAAGTACTTTTTTGATATAAGAACAAGAAGTCTTGAATTTTCTTGCTAGATCTCGCTGTGACTGGTTTGGATTTCTTGCTATTGAATGTAAAATCAACTTTACCTTTTTGGATTTATGGAAAGTTTTTTTTCTTCCACTTCTAAGTTTTCTTTCGAAGCTTTGAGTAGTCTTGAACTTGTTTATAATATCTATGACTGTAGATTTTGGGACATTTGTGCGTTTAGCAATTAAGCGATAGGAAGACAATGGATTTTTGCAAAAAAAAAATCACATTTTTTTTACGCACCTCAATTTGTTTCCAAAACATTTTGCAAATCATTAATTTTTAAACAAAAATTTATCAACACCATTTAAGATAAGGAAGTAAGGTTTAATTAAAAAAAAAAATTAAATAAAAAGCATTTGTGGTTTTGGAGAAATCTCAATTTAAAGTTGACCGGATTTTTCCGTGTCCACCCGACTATATTGATTTAAACACATATATTTTTCTTAAAATGTAGCAATACATAAGTTAAATAAATACGCTTCAAAGTGAACTTGTGTTATTAAAATTTGAAATGATTTGATTATTTTATAATTTGATTTTTATTATAAATTATAATTTGATTATCATAATTTTAAAACAATATAAAATAAACAAACAAAACTATAAACAAACATTATAAAAATATAAAGTATTTTAAGTATAGTAATAAAAATATAGTTTAACATAATAGTAATAATAATAATAATAATAATAATAATAATAATAATAATAATAATAATAATAATAGTAATAATAATAATAGTAATAATAATAGTAATAATAAAATCATAATAATAATAATAGTAATAAAATAACCCACAAAGTATTACCAAGCTTATGAGAAGTATTTTGGTATTTTTTTATTTTGGTATCGAGGACCAAGATAAACCCCGGGCTCCTCCTGTTATCTGTGGCTGTTGCAAATCATCATTGGAAGAATAATTAAGAGGCAATAAGAAAAAAAATTCATTTGCAGTACCCAGATTTTGGAGAGAGCCAAATAATCACCTGAATAACTTTTACTTGACTAAAGAAAAGATTTGCAACCATGGATCTACAAAGTGAGGAATGTTGCTAAAGTGCCTGGGAAAAGTTTTTCTACTTCCACTCCACATAAAATCGGGGTTGATCAAACAATTTGTTTAAGCATTGGATCACAGTAGAGATCAGAGGCTAAGGTTTTAGCTAGACGTGTTTACTGGACCACAAGTAAGAAAAATATTTGCATCAGAAACTTTTTAAAATTAAATGACAGAGAAAGAAAAAAAGAATTTGTCTTGCATTTGTGCATATAGTTTACAATTTTCTGGGTAACAACAGGATTGAAAAAAACAAGGAACTTGATGAACTACTTGACAGTTGTTGCGGTTTGGGCTGCAGAATGTTGCCTAAACTGCATCATTTACACTCTTATTTTGAATTTTTTCATTTAAATTTATATGTTATAAACATATAAATTAAACTTTAAATTTAAAGCAAATAAATGTAAACTGTTTCTACATGTTATTTAAATTTTTTTTCTGGAACACACCATCTATAGCTTATATCCAAAACGGTTATAGCTGGAAAAAAATTGATTGTCAAAGTGATTTACAGAATTAGTAAAAGTATATATAGATCATACATCAAAAAATAAAAATAAACAAAAAATTTGTTGCCAAGTGTTCAAGTCAATACTTTCAAATTTTGCAAAGCAGTTTTATTTGGTTTCTTATTTTTAAAAATCTATAATTTTAATTTACTTTAATACTTTGGTTAACTAATTCCCGTTTTTTCACTTAATTAATTAAAAAAATAAATAAAAGAAAAGAAAATTTGAAGAAAATAATTCTTACCAAAAAAAACAACATTTCTACATTAAAAAAAATACAACTAGACAATTCTCTGTTTTTATATTGTTCATCATCATTATCATCATCATCATCATCGTTATCATCATCATTATCCAACCAATGGGAAATCTTGAGTTCAAATGATCAAAAGAACTCTTTTAATCAAAAGAAATCTTAAATTAAAAAGTTTACTCAGAGTGTAAGAAAAAGTAACAAAAAGTATATATCTCTCTTCTATTTGAATATTTGTAGATAACATTTTTTATTTTATTTAGTTTGATGATTGAAAGTTCTGTATACTTTTTTATAAAATCATTTTTTGTACTTTATAAAATTTTTTTAGATTTATTTTATTATGCATTATATTTTCTGTAGTTACTGTTTTTGTGTTTTCTAGTTTATTTTTATGTCTTTGACCAGACAAAAAATAATTAATGACTTTTTTTTCTTTTAGAATTACCTAAAGCACCAAAACTTGAAGAGCTAATTCCAAAAAATGTTTCTACAAGAGGTCAGCCTATTTCCAGAAAAATTAGTTATTTTCATATTATCATTACAATTATTAATATGTATTTTGACAAAACAATACTTATTATTTATAACTAATAGTTATTTATACCCTTTTATTTTAGGTTTTTAAACCTATTTTTTCCCACTTTTTGAAGATTTTTTTTTTTTTTTTGACAAATACATACAAGCAATATAAACGAAATTTTTTTTTAAGTTTTTTATATAAACGAAATTTTTTTTTCATATTATATACAGATTTTTATTTTTTCTCCTCACTTCTATGTTGAAAATATTTTACTTTATCAAATATTAATAATTTTAAGTTTTAAGTTCTTTTTAATAAATAAATAAAATAATCTATATGTTTTAATTATCTATTCATCATCATCATCATCATCATCATCATCATCATAATCATCATCATCATCATCATCATCATCATCATCACCATCATCATCATCATCATCATCATCATCAACATCATCATCAGCATCATCATCATCATCATCATCATCATCTTACCACTCATAAAAAAACTGTTACTCTTGACTAAATATCATATTGGTATTGGTGAACACTTGGTGAACACTTACAGCATCTATATGCATGAAGTTGTTAAAGTTTTTGTCAAAAAACTTATTTTTTATAAAAACATGTTTGTTTGTTTTTTTAAATGATATTTCGTTACTGTGAATGTAATTTGTTTGTTAAAAAATGAAAGAGCATTTCAAAACAATTTTTCACTGGCTGATGTTTTATTTATACATATAAGGAATTATCAATTTGCCAGATATTTCTGGAATTCCGGATATTTTTTTAAATTTTTAGTTTTTCTGGATATCCAAAACATTTTCCAAATACAAGTTTAGATATATATTTTTGTAATATATATATTTTTTAAGCTTTTTCACTCATCAATCATAGACAAAATATGAAAAGTTTGAAAAAAAAAGTTAAAACAACTCAGCTAAAAACAAAATTAAAAGGAAAATAAGGGAAGAAGCATCTAGAATCTTATAAGTGACATGTAAACCGACATGTAATTCAGTCAGTATATGGAAGTCAATCAGTCAGTATTATCAAGACAGTTTATCGAAGTGAAAGTGTTTTATCGAAGAACATCAATACAAGAAGTAAAATACAACAATACATTACATCAATACAGTCCACATCCAAGTGCAAAAAATGGCTCCCGACAGTTTTGGATTGGAACTAAGAAAGAAAATTATTGGCGATTACGTAAGTGGAATGTCATAAAAAAGTACTTGTGATAAATATCGCGTGAAAAAATGGACCGTATCAAGACTATGTTGCAAATATCGTTCTACAGGGAAGTTGGCAGCAGATAAAAAAAGTGGAAGACTGCGTTCCACCACTTCTAGAGATGATTCTATGATCGTCAGATTCATCAAGAAGGATCCATGGATATCATCAGTCGAGATACAAAAGCAATTAGAGCTGCTTGTGTTGGATCGAACAATCAGACGACATGCTGTTAAAGCCGGATTGTTTTCTCTACGCCCTGCAAAGAAACCTCTGATTTCGCTAAAGAACCAGAAGAAAAGACTCCTGTTTGCTACATCTCATATTGACTGGAATGTGCAGAAATGGCGAACTGTCCTGTTCAGTGATGAATGAAGTTCATAATCATTGGGAGTGATGGCATTTGCCTTGTACGTCGACTGGCCAGAAAATGCCTTGATTTACATTACTGTCATAAGACCGTGAAGTATGGTGGAGGCAATGTAATGGTCTGGGAGTGTTTTTCTGCTAACGGTCTAGGTCCAATACATCAAATCGATGGAATAATGGACCGTTTCATGTATAAAAATATCCTGAAAGATGTTATGTTACCTCATGCTGAATGGAATATGCCAATAAAATGGGTTTTTCAGCAAGACAATGATCCGAAACACACTGCAAAAGTAGTCAAGCAGTGGTTTTAAGACAACCACCTATCGGTGATGGATTGGCCACCTCAACCTCTGTATCTCAACCCTGAAAACAGTATTTTCAAGATGCACGCAGTAAGTTTGAAACATTCGAAGGCCAGGCAAAAGATCTCACAGAATTTGATTACAAAGAAGCTATACAATGCAAGCAAATACGGAAACAATTTGATGACGAAGTTATGGATACAAGTAATCCCACTTTAAATGTTAGTGCCAGTGATAATTTCCGTATTCAACAGTATTACGTTATCATAGACAGACTTAATAATGAGATAGAAAAACGCAGAGCAGCTTATAAAGTATTGTACGAAAGGTTTAACTTTCTTCTTTACAACAGATCTTTGTCAAGTGAGAAGTATGGCTAAAACCAAGGCACTAATTCAGTTGTATCCATCAGACCTCGAAGACGAATTTATCAATGAGTTTTTGCTGTTTTCTCAAATGTTTAGTGATGGTAAGTCAGTGTCTGATAAGATTAAGCTGCAAATAAACTAGTTGCAAGTTTTCCAAATGTTAATATCGCTTTCAGGATTTATCTCTCTATATAAGAGAATTTCACCTTCTCGAATTCAGAAGGTGAACGTTCTTTTTCAAAATAAAAACTGATAAAAAACTATCTGTGTTCAACTATGGGACAAGCGCGACTATCCTCCCTGGCACTGCTATCAATTGAAAATGAAGTAATGCGGGAGATGACATTTGAAGATCTTATAGTTGATTTTGCAAATACCAAAAGTCGAAAAGTTAATGTCATCTAATTATACTGTTTGATTAGAAACATTTTTATCAATTATGAATATTATGCTGCATCTGTATGATTGTTTTATTAATGAAATGAAAAACACTTTAAAATTTCTTTTTTTTTCATTACTTTTGTACCCTGGCCCCTGTTGATTTGTAGGCTCTAGACACAGTGCTTATAGTGCCTAATGGATAAGATGGCCCTGTATCCACTTAGTAGTTAAATCATCAGAGTCATCAAAACTGGATCTTATCTTTTGCCCATCTTTTTTTTTTTTTGATAGCATGTATCAGTTTTTTTACTATACTAGTTTGCATTTTGCAACTTATAAAACAAAAATTTGTAAACTCCTTTGACTGTTATAAAATTGCATCATTTTTACTCAATTCAGTAATGGCAGTTTCAAATGGTGCAAGAACATTGACTAGGTTTTTTAGCACAAAAAATCATTTTCTGAAATGGAATCAAAATTTGATTTGTTTAAGGATTTGTTAAAACATTCGGATAGAATTAAAATTTGTTGAATCGCATTATTTTATGTTATGTAAACGCAACAGCTTATGGGCTTGGAATAGACTCAAATACAATTAAATGCTTTGTCCTGGGTTTTACAGAAATAATTAAACAAGCTAATACAGAAACAAGTAAACATTTGGGTAAAGCTAAGTTTGCAGACTTTGAAATTTTCTTAAAAAATGATTTAATTGCATCAACTAACGATGCAGCAGCCGTAATGAAAAAATATGACAATCTGTTAGGTGTTTTAAATCAACTTTGCCATAATCACGTGCTGCATTAAGCCATGAATGTTTTATATACCAAAAATTATATTCCGATGAAATGTTTGACGATATTGAAGATTTGGTTGATAATGATATGGAACAAGAAATAGAAGAAGATTCCACAGAAGATCAGTACTCTGATTGCAATTTAGATTTTGGTGAAGAAAATAAGTATATTATGACATTGAATACTGACTGATTAAATAATCACTAATTTAAAAGGTGTTTAAAAAATTGGCTACAAAGCATTTCATTTTGATTGACTACAAAGCATTCTATTTTGATTAACTACAAAGCATTCTATTTTGCAACAAAATATAACTAAAATAATAGAAAAAAAAATTAAGTTAAAATTAGACAGAAACTCGATGGAATTCCTTGAGTGAAATCAAATAGTAATTAATTTTTTTTGTATTCTTTTTCTCAGGAAAATTATTTACTTTATAATTTTCACTTGATCCTGATTTAGATATCAATATTTTATGTCATAGCTTCAAATGGTTAATCATGCAGTTTTCCATCCTATGTTCGTGTTGCACTTACCACTTGGGGCTTTAAAATTTAATTTCCACCTTATATTATGCACCAACAAATTGTATTTTTATTAGAAAATGTTTTTACTATTTTTAATAGATAAATTAAATTTATGGGACTTTTTTAAGTATTGATTATGATTATATTACATTTACATAGTAATATATTAAATTTTTGAACATTTATAAGCAACCTCAATAATTGATTGTGTTTTAAAAACCAACTAAAATAATGCCACACAAAAAAAAAAAAAATGTATTTTCATTTCTCCACATCAAGATTTTGTTAAAAATGTTTATAATTTTTTTTTGTATTTTTCTTTTTTTTTTTATTTCTTTTTAATAGTAATATATTATTTTTAATACTGATATTTACATTATATTTTTCTGCAAAGCTCTTTTCTCTTTTTTCTTTTCTTTTTAAATTTAGACTTTTCATTTTAAAAATTATTGAATGTTGTGAAAAAATTATTCACGTTAAATAGTCAAAAAACGCTCATATATATTTGAACATCAAGTATTCAAATACTCAAGTTGTATGGTCTAGATAGATATGGAAAACAAATGAGACTTCGCTGAATGATAAGTCAATCATGAATAAGTTTTAGTTGATGGAACTAGAGATGATAGCTTCTTTGAGCAGCAACCATGATAGTATTTGTAGAAATAAGAAAGAGATGCAACTTTACAACAATGGAAAGAGGCTCAAGCTTAGCAGCAAGAGTGGATCTAACTATACTTACAATATGTTTTTGGACCTTGTCTAGAAGAGAACGAGCATATTTAGAACTACCAGCCTAAATATGACAACAGTATTCATACAGAGTTGAATAAGAGATTAGTAGAGGTAGAGAATGAAATCAGGAGAGAGAAAATGGTGAGCATGATAAAGAGAGGCAACCTTAGTGTATGTTTATTTAGCAAACAATTTTATATATGGTTTCCATGAAAGGTCAGTAGTAAGCAATAATCCAAGAAGACGATAAGTAGACGACTCAGTTAGAGGGTCGTCATTTATTAATATAGGAATGTCAACAGTATAGCAGTGTATTTGCAGTAAATAACTGTTTGTTTTTTTATAGCAATTTATTTGCAGTAAATAACTGAGTTTTTTTGGAGTTAAAATTTACAAGCTACTGTGAGCCCCAAGTGGTTACAGAAGTGAGACCAAAAGATTGGCTGCCTGGTCAAGACAGTGGTATAAAGTTGAGTCATATGCAAAATATACTTTAAGAAGTAAGGTTTTCAGGAGGATCAGCAATGTAGAAAAGAAATATAACAGACCAAGGATAGAACCTTGAGGTACCTTAGAATTACTGGAAATGAAGAAGAGTGTTGGCCTTCGAGGACAACACTCTTCTTCATTTCCAGTAATTCTAAGGTAGGTGAAAGATTATATTGTGCAAAAAATAGGGGCCTCACTGCCTCCATCTTTTGCACAATATAATCTTTCAGTTGTAGCAGTTATACAGTATTGATTTTTTGAGTTAAACTGGGATGTCAGAATTGAGTTATGTATGATTGAGTTATGACTTTAGTAACGGAAGCTAGAGTGATTGGAATGTCTAACAATGGGTTAACCTGTTTAATTAAAATGGAAAAAAAAAGAATGGCCATAAGATTCAGAAGGAAAGTCAAATAGGAAGAAAAGTTTTTTGCAAGTAGTTCAGTCTTATACTTGGGAGAAGTGATAAGATAAGTCTCATGAATGAGAGATAAAATGATAGACCTAACCTTCTTAAAGATTTTCGATATGTCTCTAGAGCCTAACTTCTGAGATAAGATACGAGATTTAGAGAATTAATAATAATGGAGCTTGGCATCAGAGAGCACCTTTTTACATCAATTTCTTGCAATACATCAATTTATTGCTGTTTGTTCTTGACAGAGTTTTTTTTTTTGAAAAAGATAAAAAAAATGATTATGGTTAGATATAGCAGCTGCACTAGAAGGTGAAAACTATAAAGTAGAATGAGGCTTCTATTATTCTCTAAAGCATTAAAAATGTAATCAAATCTTTTTTTCCTTAGTATAAAAGTTAATTTCAAGACTTGAGGTTTATTAGAGAGTTCAAATGTTGTTTGAAAATAAAAAAATTAAAATGATTAAAAAAATCATTTTGTAAAGTTTGTTCAAAGTCTTTCAGCATCGCAAACAACATAATAGAGAATATAAAACAGCTAACAACTAAGAGTAAGCTGCACCATATTTCCAGACAATCAAATTGCTCAAAATAAACACTTGTGGAAAAATAAAATACAGTTACATTTTATGTTATGTTGCACCTTTTGTTAAAGAAATTATGCTAAACAAATGGAATCGAATCAAATAACAAAATTTCTAAAAAAATCATATGGATCTACATGAAAAAAAGTCATATGGATCATTTGAAATGACACAGAAATGAAGTAAAAACATCATATTGGAGTTCTAAGTTATTAAGTGAAGCATCAGCTGGTGATTTCCAAATATAGTATTTGTTTAAGTTCTTTAAATTGTAGTCCTTCAAGTTCTTTCTTATGGTCCTAAAAATTAATTACAAATATCTAAATTAATTTTATTAAAATAAAATTAATTTTATTAAAATAAAATAAAATTTTTAAATCTGGTAAATAAAAGCAGAAGAGAAGATTTACTTGATTTTTTAATTAATATCATTTTTTACAAACTTGGGGAAAAGACTGGAGCTGACTTAGAGTGTTAAGAGAATACTTTTTTTTGTATAAAAATGAGTCACTAGACAACATCTTTTTTAATTTATGTAGCCGCTTTTTGAAGAAGGCTTTTTGAAAAAAGGCTCTGTTAAATAACTGAAGTCCCCAATATTCAGATGTTTTCAATATTCATTTTGAGGACTCTTTTTTTTTAGGAGCCTCATTTTGGAGTAGGTTTATCACAACTTGCAAAATATCCTAACTCATCTTTAAAATTGCCAACTAAAAGAATATTTTAGTCAAATCAATACAATCAAGATCATTTTTTGATTTATGATATACTAATTAATATATATATTATGATATATAATTAATAATATATAATATATATTAATATATAATAATATGATATACTAATTGTGATAACCACAATGCTACAAAAACTTATCCACAAGAGAGTATATTAAATATAGAAATATCTTCGTCAGTTATTCATCAAATAGTCTTTTTATTATAGGAAGGATGAGTAAAAAAAAAAAAATGATCCTCAATATTTTTTGAAAATGTCCAAATATGTTAACCACGTGTATTCAATTAGGCAAACAATTTTTGTAAGAGTTAAATCAATTATAAAGTAATTTAAGGAGTTTGAGCAGAACTTTGGGCACCTAAACCGGTATACTGGTGTCAAAGTACCTGGTCCAATAACACTTGATTAACTAAAGTTGATAAAGTTCAATACTGGATTTTGTTTGTTTGAAAAAACTGACTTCTGAAACTGCAATGAAAGCCAAACGAGAGTATTCAAAATTTTTGTTAAATATTATTAAAACTAACACAGAGTTATTAAGAGAGTTTAAAGATTGATTTCTTTGGATGCACATTGGCTTAGATCCCAACTATAAATCCATTTGGTCTGTTTTATAAATAGCTTTAGATTTATCTCACAGTCAAGCTATTGTTGAGCAAGGATTTACTGAAAACAAAATGCTTCTTGTTGAAATCTTGACATGGAAAGTCTTATTTCTCAGCAATTAATATGCGACTATATAAAACAAAAAAAGTTTTCTAATGTCAAAAAGTTTGTTATCTTATGTCAAATTTTCTCGAATATTAACAATCATTTGTTCATAAAAAATGAAATTAAACAAGGAGAAAAAAGAAAAAGAGAATTTAATTTCTTTTGCAAGAAATTAAAGTTGGAGAAAACTATTATTGTGCTTAATTAAGATGATAACTTTGATATAATGATCTTATCCAAATGCGTTAAGAGAATATTCTCAGTGAACTGCAAGAAAATAAAGTTTATAAAACTAATTTTAACTTGAATTATTTCATTAATCATAAATTTATGAGTTGTTTTCATTATGATAGGTGTTAAGACTATGCTATAAAAATCCAAAAGGAATACACACCCTGCAATTGTGTAAATAATTAAAACTGTCCAATAAAGGAAAATGCAAAGTCATAAATGTAATTGATAAATTTTAAGTACCATCTTTAAACACTTAAGCTAAAGTTAATATTGTTGTTTCAGAAGGTGAATATATATATATATATATATATATATATATATATATATTTAATGTATTGTTTAATAAAAATATTCTGTTTAATTACATTTTTTAGAAGATCAGCAATCAAAATCGAAAGTTAGTTCGCTTGCTGACGTGTTATGTAAATGGTGCACGCAAACAGGTATTTTATAATAACTTACACTAACGCAAGAGTTTTTTGGTTAATTTTTAGCTAAGAATTAATAATGAAACTTCAGAATAAATGTGATGCTATATAATAAGATCAGGTTTGATGCTTCCAAAAATTAAATTAAATTTTAAGTATTATTTAGAGTAAATTGCTTTTAAGCTTATTTAAAAAGCAAATAATTAGAACCACAGTAGACCATAGAGACCACCAGGTTTTATGTTCTTTCAATCAGATGAAACATTTTTTTTATTTAAAAGTATTTTAAAATAATAGAAATATTGTTTTAATATCTAAAGAAAGTGGTTTTTCACTCAATAATAATTTAAAAACAATAATAAGATTATTATGTCAAAAAAAAAATGTTTTGATTTTTGTAATTATCCGGATAAAATAATTATTTATATATATAACTTTTTTTAAATCACTTTTTTATTGTAAATCAAAATAAATAAGACTCGGTATATCTGCTAAAGTAACAGATTAACATTAAACACGGTTTAAATTTATTTAAATTGCGTTTAAACGGCATTTCAACTATTTATAATTGATTTAATTATGGACGCAAACTTCGCTCCGTATCTTCGAATTCTGTATGTATTTTGTTTCGTATAATTGGTGTATTCCGTATTTTAACTGTATTTTATTAAATAGAGGAGAAACCGATAGAGAGTTGGTCAGGAACCCAGCAACCTATAAAACAAGATGAGTCGAAAAACTAAAAAATCTTTAAATATAATGAAGTTATTTTACATATAGTTTTTAACTTTTTTTCTTCTTTTGTAGTGGAAATAGTTTTTTCTTATTTTCAGTTATTTGTTTTACATTTCATGAATTACGTCGTTTTAATATTTAATTGCATAATGAGTTTCTGTTAGATATCTTTTTTTTTTTTTTTTTTTTTTCATTAAGTTATTTTTTACCTATTTATTTGATTTAAATTTCATTTTGTATTGTTTGCGCTGTTATTTTATGAAATAAAATTTTAGATTGTGGGTTGAATTTTGTTTTTCATATAAACGTTGTTTTTTTATGTTGTTTATGATACCTTAAAATGGACTTAGATTTTATATTATGTAATGACATAGTATAAATGTAAATTTTTTTTGCTTTAGTAAAAAATATTTATTAAAAAGTATTTTCCTTCGAACATGAGTATAATTAGAGAAATTCGAGGCGACAAATACGATTCAATACGACAAAGGGAAAGATATGACTAAAATTTATTTAATTGGTTTTACTTTCTTAGTTTAACCTGTTTTTAAGAATTTTTTATTTTCTTTGTGACAAAACATGACTTAGTGAAGCCATAAACATTTTTAATGCGTATCTTAGACTTTGTACTTACTAGTTTGTGAGGCATTACTTTTAGTCCTTAGTACTTACTAGTTTCGTGCTGATTATTTTTGGGAAAAAATTGCATTATTTATTTTCCAAAAACAAAATTAGCTTCATTTGATTTATAAGGTAAGGACTTTATGTTTTTAACACACGGTCTTTGTGGGAAAGATGAGACGGTTTCAGTTTTTTTAAGTTTAGAAAAAACAGCGAAGACTTCTCTCGTACTACCCCAAAGTACCTTCATCGTATGGTACTTATGACTGCGAAATTTTTTTCATTAAAATCAGCTTTTTATTTTCAACTTTATTTGAGGTTGTCCTATACCATTAAAAAAATAAAAATTCAATTTTTTTTTAACATAATTTTATGCAAAATTTAGTTTAAGATTTTTAAATAGTTTTAAGTAAATCTTGAGCATAATTTGGTTTATTTTTAATATTAAAAAAATGTGCTGAAAATATTTTCCATAGTGACGCACCTATCAACAGCATTTTCAAAATCAAAAAAATTTCTTTGATCGTTTTTACCCATTGCTAAAATGAATTTTTGAAAATGTTATCACTGCATTTTTAAAGTATAGTTTGCCAACTTTCAAGCTCATATTTTGGATATAATTTGCAAGAGCGAAACAATATTAACATCGTGCTTCATTTAACTTGTCTGAATTTAGTAAATTGATACTACAGTTAAAATTTTGTTATAGGTCGAAGAAAGTCATATTATAAACCTTTAAAAAGAGACTCATGGGAATCGATTTGTAGTTGCTCCCACAGAAATAATAAAGAATCCAATTACCACTTCAGAAATCATTATAAATGAAGCTCCATGTTCAGTAAGTGGTATAAAATTTTAAAAAAGTGTGAAGGAAGCAGATTTGAATATATCTTATTTGCTAATAAGCTTTATTATTTTGGCAGAAACAATATGTTTGTATTCAATTTGCCCAGAATGTAATCAAATAGGATTATGTACTCAAAATTTAACTATAGAAAAGAAAGGATGGACAAACGAACTGAAACTTTCATGTACTTATTGTTTACCTCTAAAGAAATTATTTTACCAAATAAAAGTGGTCAAAAATATTTTGACATAAATACTAGATGTGTGATTTTGAGAAATAGGCATTATGCCTATTGTGATTTATTGAACAGTTATGCCTAAGGTAAAACTATTCAATAAACTACAAGGGCTCAGCAGGCTCAATGAATACACAAGGAGCTATAGCAATTTTTCATTCATCCATTTAAAAAAGTGGTTTGCGCCATAAAAATTATGTTGGAGATAGTGACAGCAGCTCATTTCTTAAAGTTATAGAGAGTAAGCAATGTGGTGAAGATTTTGTTATTAATAAACTTTAACGTGTTAGTCACATACAAAAAAGACTTGGGAATAGACTACGTTCACTACGACAGAGTATGAAAGAACGAATTTTAGTAGATAGAAAAAAACTTGTTGGAAAAGGGCGCTTAATTGAATCTGCAATTAACTTACTGCAAATTTTATAGCATAAAAAAGCCATTATTGCAGTTTCGTTTTATTGCAAGTGAGTCAGACACTAAAGCTAAAAAACATTTATATTGTTCAAGAACCACTAATAATTGGTGGAAATGGTAGAAACTAAATGAAATGAAAAGGTTAAATTATGAACCTAAATTGTCACTGCCTGCTGCTATTAGAGATGTTTTAAAAACCAAATTTTATGGAGCTAAGTATTGATAGTTTTAATGTATATAGTTTTAAGTATATAGATAGTTTTAAGTATCGATAAATTTAATGTTTGCATGGAATGACCCAGAATGTCAATAAATGACTTAATGCAATGATTTAGTCTCGAGGCCCTAAAAGTCAATATTGCAGTCAAAAAATAACTAAAGTTGGTGTTTGTTCAGCAATTATTCATTTTAATGATAGTTTTAATGGGCTTCATAAAGTATTGAAATTTTTAAACATTACTTCTGGACAAGGCCGGCGCGAGTAGGTGTCACGTGGGGGAGGTGCCTTTACATTTTGCCGACAAAAAAAAAAAAAAAAAAGAAAAAAGGTCCCCGTTTTCCAAAATTATCAAAAGGGTCGACATTTGCCGACTAACTAGTTTAAAAGGGTTCAATTTGCCGACTAAGGGTCTAATTTGCCGACTAAAAATCATTGATGGGGGAGTATCACACACACACACACATATAAAGTCAAGTAGTTTCTGTAAAAGTAAATAAAAGTTTTAAGAACTAAAAGAAAAGGTTTTATTGATAAACAAACAAACAAAAATGACTGCGAGTCTTATATGACTAGAGCATATTAATTTTTTTGTGTGTGATGTTATTTTTTTGCTTGTTTATTTCTATTTAGTTTCTTATTTTCGTTATTCTTAATTTTTGATTTTTGTCTAATTTTAGTCACCGTTTCCTGAATAAAATTTTTTAGACTTTACAATTTGACCTAAAAATTTCCCAAGTTATGCGTTTAGATTTGATCTACAACCTAAACTAAAATGAAAGTTTTTTACTTTGTATTTTCTGAAATTTTGGTCTTAGAACTAATGTAACATATTAAGGAAACATTGTTTGGGGTATTTCGGGTCCCAACATGATTTATTAAGCCCTTTAAAAAAATTTCCTAATTTTTTTAAATTTTTATTTGGGCATCCTATTATATGCAGTAAAAAGTGTTTTAAGGTCAAATATTAGCGACACAAGTTTAATATTATACGACCACCTTAAAGTTCAAATATGTAATGTATATTTTTTCTTTCAAAGTTTAATACAAGTAATATTTGTCTAATATAAACCTTTATTTTAGTGTTTTTTTAACCTAATTGTAGGCTGTTAAGATATTTTTGCATATTAAGACTTATTTTCGTATATAAATGACTTTGTAAATAATTAAGTTAATCCATTTATTAAAACCAGTGAACGATTGTTAATGAACAAAAATGTTTATCAAAACTTTTCAAATGAGAAAATCTTAATATAAAAATTGGCTTTTTTCGCGGCGTTTTTTCTCTCATAATCTTACTACTTAATCTCTTCATTTAACTTTTTTAAGGCTAAAAAAAAAGGTAGCAGGAAAAAATCCCCCGGAAGATATCCCCTCGAAAAAATTCCCCTGGATTTTTTTTTTACAGCGCATAAAATAAACGATATACCAATATAATAGTTGTTTATAGTATAAATATTTTATACATACGTATTATAATACAAACAGAACCTTAATCCTTCATTTTTCATAAATCGACTGACAAATAGGTAGAACATACAAGAAGTGTAAATACAGTGACTGACAAATAGGTAGGACATGCAAGAGGTGTACAAACATCAACTGAAGGATTTGGTTTGGGCAGGCAATCTATCAATTTCAAAAAAATATATATATTTTTTTTTAATTTTTTGCGGGGGATTTTTTTCTAGAACCAAAAAAAAAAAAAAAAAAAAAAAATCACATTCATAAACTATTTTAATGAAAATAACTCTTTTCAATTTTTTGCGTTGAGAAATCACATTTGGTTGTCGCGTTTGTTTCTTAATTAATATTTTATTAAATATGTTCAATTCTTATTTATTTTATTAAATTTTATGTTCATATAATATATGATTTAATATTAAATCAAACAATAAAAAAAATCTTTGTAACATTTTTATATATTGATGCAGTGTAAGAATCCTTTTGCTCAAGGATTCTTAAGTCTAAATTGGCAAAATTAATTAAATTTAGATTTTTTCAGTGTCAATTTTAGAAACATTCGAATAAAAGATTTGTAACGTCAGAAATAAAAAAGTCACAAATCAAAGTGGCACTTCATTTTGATTTTAACTTAATTTTTTTGTTATAAATAACTAATTTTATTGTCACGTTTCTCATTTCTTTTGTTTTGAAATAATGAGTCAATGAGGGTTTTAAATAAAATAAGTAAATAAAAATAAAACCATAAGAAAATATGATTAAATTATTGAAACTCAATAAAATTATAAATTGATAAAAAAAAAAATATAGAGTGATTATACAAGCACAAAAATTTCTAAAAACATAAGCATCCTATATAAATCACAAATCTATCTCAATAAGAAAGTCCTAATCCAACTTTATTATTCATTTATACATAGTTATTTAAATTATGCCAATATTGCTTGGGGAAGTACAGAAAAAAGTAAGTTTTATCTCCGTCAGAAACGCGCAATCCGTATAATCAATTTTGCAAATCACTTCTCTCATTTGAAGCATTATTTTATTGAAATGAGAGTTCTGAATATAAACGAGTTGAATGTATTTAATATTTTAATGTTTTGTATGTATATGGATTAATTTTGCAAATCACTTCTCTCATTTGAATAAAATCAATTTTGCAAATCACTTCTCTCATTTGAAGCATTATTTTATTGAAATGAGAGTTCTGAATAT